CGGTCACTTTCACGGGCACAGCCAGCACTTCGCAGTGGCGCTTGAGCCAGGTCACGATGTCCTCCACGTCCACGGTCTCGTTCCGGAAGAGGATGAAAAGCGTCTTCAAGCTGGACTTGCTCCGCCCCAGCACCACAAAGTTCTCCCAGCAGTCCTCCTGTTCGCGCTTCTCCTCATAGATGCGTAGGAACAGGGCCAGTTTCTCCGCCGAGCGGAAGCTCACGTCGAATTCGCGGCTGCCCGGGATCTGGATGACCGCGTAGATGTCGCTGGGGTCCATGCCAATGGAGCGCAGGATGAGCGCGCCGACCACGAAGTCCCGGGTCGGGCAGGCGCCCTCGTCTCCCTGGAAACAGATGCGCACGAGGAAACGGCCCTTGCTCGGGCCAGCCGCCGGGCCCGCCGCTGCCGTCCCGAGTTCGTCCTGGGGCGGCCGCTCGGTCGCGTCTTCGGCCGCGCCGGGCCTGTTCGGGGTCGCCATGGCCGCCCCCTCGGCCTTCTTCCTTCTGCCCGCCTCTGCTGCGCCATTCTTCTTGCGGGGGTCCGCCGCCTCGCCGGCCGGGTCTCTCCGACGACCCTTCGGGTCCCCGCGGCCGGCCGGGGGGAAGTCGCCGAGACCCTGCGTTGCCAGGCCCGCGGGGGCGCCAAGCCCGCCGCCCACGCCGCTGCTGCTTTCCTCCTCCCTCCGCGGCGGCCGCGACTCGCGGAACTCACCCTTCTTCTCGGCCAGGTTCTTCACCACCTGAGCCCAGCCCATCTTTTCGCGGCCGCCCTCGCTCTCCTCGGCCCGGACCGCTGGGCGCGCGGGGGTCAGGAGCTGCGACCGCCCCCTCTTTCTCTCCTCCTCCGGGCCGCCGCCGGTGGCCATTTTACCTCCTTCCCAGCATCCTCCACTCGCTCCCGCAGCCAAAGGGCGCCCATCGCGCGCGGTGCTGTGAGGTTTTGGGTGCTTTTTTTTTTTTTTTTTGAAATTTGATGCTTCTTTTCCCCGCCCCGCCAAAAATATTTACAGGCGGCTCGAGGCGGCCTGCCCCAGCCCGGAACCCCCTGGTAACGGCCGAGCCGCGTTTCCGCCGGGGCTCGCCAGCCCCACCTCCTGGGCACCGACACGGGGTAGGGAGCTTGGAGCGGGTCCCTGTCCCTTGCGAGGGTTTGGCAGCCTTGGGCCTCGCTCTCGAGGATTTGGTATTTCGCAAGCGGTCCTCGATGATTTCATTCAAGCAGCATTACCAACGGCTCACAGCCCAAAGGCGGGACAGAGTTGAAGGTCTCGCCCATTTTGTTGTCTTTTGTATACATTTTCTATTAAAACAAAACTTAGCTCTCTCCCCCCAAAGCGTACCACAATGCGATTTTTTAAACGTTGTGTTATGAACATTTTCAAACATGCAGAAAGTTGAAAGACTTTTACAGTGAACATTTTATCTTTAGTTTTTTACTATTTTTAACTTCCGTTAAAATTTTACTATATCACGGTATCTGTCCATCAGTCCTTTTTTTGACACATTTTCAAGTAAGTTATATTCCATTATTTTTTTAAAAATGATCTCCAACATACTCATGATAACAATTATAATTTATTGGGCGCCGAAGTGCTCAGTACTGTTCTGAGCACATTGCAAGCCTTAGCACATAGAATCTTCCAAAGCAATGCTGTAATTACCCATTTTACAGGGCATAGGGGCTTGGAGTTAGGGTGAAATCATTTGGCTGAGTGTCAGAGTGAAAGGGGGCCCCTAGTTATAAATAGATGGCTTATATTTATTTATTAAACCTCTTTGCTTCTGACATTGTGGATCAAGGACTATTTGCATCAGACTCTCCAGGAAACCTCTTTAAGCACAGATTCCATGGCTAAAGTTAGCACTGGACAGAATCTACTCCTTTCTCATCTGCCTCAACTGGTTCTTTGCAAGTATTGATAAAATTTGGGTGGTTGAAGAGATGGATTTAACATTCTCTTTTGCCAGCATTGTCTTCTTTCTGTGTATCTGTACATTTCAGGGTGTTTCAGTGACCTTTCCAACTTCAGTGAAAGAAAAAGTGAATTGTGGAGTCAGGGAGACCCTTGTTTGAATCTGAGTGCTTCAATTTTCAGCATGTCTCATGGGGCCAATGACTTAGTTTTCATAGCTCCAATTTTCTCATCCATTACAAAGGGATATCAATATCTACTGTCAGAGGACAAATACAGGGGTTCAAGGAGATAACCTGTGTTAAAGAGTTCGGTGCACAGTGGGTTTCCTACATGGGTAACAGGATTGGTTAATTTAATGGCTCAAAAATGCTGTCAAGGAACAGGTACCCCCATTTTCCTTCCATTTGGTTAACTCCCCTTGCAGAGTTCCCCAATTCTGGGAATGCCTCATAGATATGACAGTATCTAGAAACAGATGAGGGAATGTTTTTCTGCAATGTCTTTTTTTTTTTTTTTTAAGTGTGATGAAAATCTTTCCCAAAAGTCTCTTGAGTAGAACTCCTCACCCTACTTTTTGTCCAGATTTTTATTACATGCCTTAGACTAAGCCTATAACTGGCAAGGGAAATGGGCCCACCAAGCCTAGCTTAGATCAGTCGTGACTACTGGGGAGGAAGCTGGGACTAGGGCTGGGACCTACCTCCTCTAAAGTCAGTGCATATCTGAATAAGATCAGGGGCTGTTAGCTGAGTTGGTTGGCGAGAAATGAGTGTTGGGTAGGCAACCGCTTGTGTTTGCTACATAGAGCTACCTCCTGCTTTTTAACTGTTTCATGGTACAGAGCTTCCCAGCTGGAGTGCTGTGGTACAGAGGGCTCTGCAAATGGGTTCGCCGAACACAGTGATTCCTTCAGCTCTAGGGGCAAGCCAAGAGGGTCCTGGAAGACCAGAGTACCCGGCTGATCAATTACCATAGCAGTCTCTTCTGTTTACCATAGTGTGCAGTGCAATTTAAAACATTTTCCTGTGATTTTAAAGAGGGGGATACGGCTAGGAGTTCTGGCCTAGTATTTCTTTTTTTAAGATTTTATGTATTTATTTTTAAAGGAGAAAGGAGGGAGAGGGAGAGAAACATTAATGTGAGAAAGAAACATCCATCCACTGCCTCCAGCATATGCCCCAGCCAGAGACTGAACCCCCAACCCATGCATGTGTCCTGACCTGGAATCCAACTGGAGAACTTCTGCTTTGTGAGACAATGTCCAACCCACTGAGCCACACCAGTCAGGGCTGGCCTGGTATTCTTTAGTAACATACCCTGATTCAAGTTTAAATGATTTCAAATTACTGTGGTACCTTGGTACCTGTTAGCTTCAGAACTCGTCAAACCCAGCACTCGTTGCATTTTGACACGAAAAAATGTTTCAGCACTTAGGCACATGCTCGCCTCTTGTAGCACTTGCTAGAACTTGTATGAATCACGATGCCACCCAGCAAGAGAAAATGCTTTGCTGCTTGCTCACCACTTGTTGGAGCGAATCAAAGACAAGTACCAAGGTACCACTGTATTTGCTGCTCTAAATTATTTTTTAAACTGGAATACACTTTTAAATTTATGCTCTATTAGCAAATCTGGAGAGTGGAGAGAGAATTGGAGTGGAGCTAGAGTGGGAGCTGATAGTACAGTCCACGCATGAGAAAAGAGCAGAGTATGTGTGTGGGTGGTGGTAGTGAGTGGTCTAGTTCCAGATATACTTTGAAGGTCTTGCAGACAGATTTGGATGACTCCAGGAAGAGAGTTGTCATTTTGACTTGAGTGAAAATGTTTCTGGGGAAAGATTGCCTGTTAGTTGCCTATTACATGTACAAATGGAGATACTGAATAGACAATTGGATATATGTGGATGGAATTCAGGGGAGGCTGAAGATGTGAGTCTGGGAAGCACCTGGGTAGAGGTGGCATCTGAAGTCATAAGACTGTAAGGGAACACATGGAGTGAGAGCAGGTAGAGAAAAAGAAGACCAGATTTGAGTCCTGGGAGAATCCAATAATAAACAGAGAAGAGGAGGAACCAGCAGAAGAGAAGAGAAAGAGGTAGGAAGCAACTCAAGAGAGGTTTTCTGGATACCAAGTATAGAAAGTGTGTCAAGGAGGGAGGGAATGACCCATTGTGCCAAATGCTGCAGATGAGCCAAGTAAATGAGAACTGAGACGTGACTGAGGTTTAGCAAAGTGGAGGTCACTGGTGGCGCTGACAAGGGCAGTTTCAGTGAAGAAGTGGAGAGTGAAAGCCTGACTGAAGAGGGAGGAAGAAATGGGAAACAGTAGGCAAACTTCTGTAGCAGTTTTGCTGTGAAGCAGAAATGGGTGGGGAGCTGGATGGAAGTGGTCATTTAAAAAAATTTTAATTAATTATCTTATTTTTAGACCGGGGAAGAGAGGGAGAGAAATAAATATCAATGTGTGGTTGCATTTCACACATCCCCTGCCTGGGACCTGGCCCATAGCCCAGGCATGTGCCCTGACCGGGAATGGAACCAACAACCCCTTGATTCCCAGGCGGGTGCTCAATCCACTGAGCCACACCAGCCAGGGCTGGAAGTGGGGGGGCGGGGCGAGAAAGAAAGGGGGAGAGAAACATGGATGCGAGAGAGAAGCATCCATCGGTTGCCTCCGGTACATGTCTGGCCCTGGGGACTGAACCACAATCTAGGTATGTGCCCTGACCAGGAATTGAACTTGCAATCTTTCGGTTACAGATCGATGCGCCAACCTACTGAGCCACACCAGCCAGGGATCACTTTTCTTTCTTCAACAGAAAAATTTAAAATATGTTGGTATGCCAATGGGAATAATACAGAGGACAGGGTGATGGGGGAAGACGGGGTGAATTGCTGTGGAAGTATCTTAAGAGAAAGTGAGACTAGGGTTCAGTGTATAATTGTAGGAATTGGTCTCAGTAGACAATTTAAATAGTCAAAGAAGGGAGGCAAGTAGGTGGGTAAATGAGGTGCTGTGAACCTTTGAGTTTACTGGTCCCATGAGTTTCTTAGTGAAATAGGAAGCAAAGTCAAGAGTAAGGATGGGGAAAGAAGTGACGTAGGTTTGATGAGAAGATAAATATTACATCATTCTTTAGGATGCTAGGCACAACCAACTGAAGGATATTTGAAACCAAGTTGAGTGGAATGTGCAGAGAGCTACATTTTGCCCTGCGACATTAGTCCCTCTAGGCACTCGGTAGTCTGAGTCCGTTTCCTTGGAGACGCAGACAGGGAGGAAGCGTTGGGTCTCCAAGGGAAGTTTCAGTGGCCTGAGTTACCACGGAATCCACGCTGAGACAGGAAAGATGGAGAGGCCGAATAAATAGGCATCCCAAGAGATCAGTGCCCCACGGACTCACGACGCTTGTTCCATTTTCTCCAATGGCGTGCTTCTTTCCGAAGTAGGTAAAAGGAGCCTCGCGAGGTGGTGAAGCGCGCATGCGTGTCCTCCTGCCCAGCCCACGTTGGAGGTCTCCCCGCGGTCTTTTGACCCCGCCCTCTCCCCGACCACGTCTCCCCAGCCCCGCCTCTCACTGCAGCGCTCAGAGTTCTGGCCAGGCTCGTTTGTGTCCCTAGTAAATTGCGGTTTTGGGGTCGAGACTCCACGGCTCTTTTCACGTTTCCTTCCTGCGTCCCCACTGGTTGGAAATAATAGTTTTTTCCCGCCCCAACTCTTTCCAGACCTAGCGACTCTGAGAGTTGCTCCACAATCCATCGTAAGTTCCAGATTCTGGTGAGTACGGACGGAATGGTCTGGGCGGGGATAGGGAGCTCGCTGACCCTGAGCCTGCGATCCTTTTGCTCTCCACCCCCGTGGAAGCGATGTCCGGGGTGGTAGAGTCCGGAGACCTGAATTCTAGGACCTGTTGTGTCACACATTTTTTGGCGCTTGTCTCTGAATCTCAGTTTTCTCACCACTTTATCACAATATAGGGGTATATTATACTGCTTTCTTATTTGTCTCCGATTGCTACTCTGGTTCCCTATTGGGTCCTTTCCATGCCTTCTATTTCTCATAGTTCTTTGCACCTCACAGCCTCGATGTGCTTAGTAAATTCTGACTGGCTGATAAAAAAAAAAGTGATAGCTGGAGTTTATGGAGCACTTGCCACATGCTTTATAAATATCTCTCAGAATTCTCGCACCAACCTATGGAAGTTAGATTTATAATTAGATCCAGTTTAAAGATGAGAAAAGTGAGGTCCAGAGAGGTAAAGTCAATTACTCAAGCTTAGAGATATCTGTAAGGGGTGAAGCTGGGATTTGAACCCACCAGGCTGTGTACTGATTTGGTTATGTCTGGTAGGATTATGGACTATTGCAGCAGTCTAAGCAGAAAATCAAGCCACCCACTCTACTTCCAGTCCTACAAACCAGCCACCGGAAGAAAAGCAAAATGAAGACTTGGATTAGCATCCAGCCAGGTAAACAGAAGCACCTGGGGGATGATGTGGGCGTTGGGGATAGGATAGAGTGGGTGCTCTTGACCTTTGGTGACACCATTTATGAGGGCGGACCCCCCAAGAACCCTGGAATTACTTTGAGGGTGGGCTCCTTGTAGTACAGGCTTCCCCCATTAGGTGAGTGTTCTAGGAACCCCTCTGTATCAGTGTACCAGCTGGCATTGTTGTCAGAGGCTGAGTTCAGCTTCAGCGAATTTTTTTTAAGACTCTTTCAGCACATTAGCCCATTACACAACGTGTGATTTATGAGCACATCTACTTACACTGTGCTGAGTGTTCAGCACTTTTTGACCAAACACAGTAAGACCTCCATGCCCAACCCTTTCTATTCGCCTATACTTGCCCTGAGCAAATTTTTTTTGTTTTCCCAAATGAAAAAAGTCCTCAAAGGGAAACGTTTGGCCATTGTGGAAGAGGTGAAATAGAAAATGGCAGAAAGTCCTGCCTGGTGTGGCTCAGTGGATTGAGTGCTGGCCTGTGAACCAAAGGGTCGCTGGTTTGATTCCCAGAGCACTGAGCTGCCAGCCAGGCCCACAGTTGGGGGTGTGCGAGAGGCAACCAATCAATGTATCGCTCACCTATTGGTGTTTCTCCCTCTCTCTTTCTCCCTTCCTTCTCCTCTCTCTAAAAATAAAAAATAAAATCTAAACCCCCCCCCCCAAAACGGCAGAAGAACTATAGGCATCAAAATCAAAGAGTTCAAAAACTGCTTTCAGCAGTGGCAAAAATGTCTCAATAGGTGTATTGCATCAAATGGACAGTACTTGGAAGATGACTGAAGTTTAAAAATGTAAGAATAAATCCACATTTTTTAATAAATAAATTCCATTTTTTGGTCCCCTCCTCGTGTATTAGGGTAGGCTGATTGCTTTAACTAACAATCTCCAATTTCAAGCATTAATACAGAAGCTTATATCTCATATATGTCAAAGTACATTTGTGGATCTGGGCAGGAGGAGATAATCTTTTCTACGTGATTATTCAGGGACCTAGTTAGGCTCCTTTAACCTTGTGGCTATGACATTTTGTAAGGCCTTGAAGTCCTCTGCTGGATACTTCTGCATCTAGCCAGCAGAGAGGGAACAGAGAGAGAAAGAGCAAGAATATGGCCCAGATTTTAAGTGATATAATATCATTCCCACTCATATTCCAGTGGCCACAACTCAGCCACCTGACCACCCCTAACCACAAAGGAAGATGGGAAATGTAGCCCAGCTGTGTGCCCAGGAGGAAAAGGAAGCAGGGCTTGGCGAATTCAGGCTTGTCTCTGCCACATGTTGTTATTTCTTCCAGGGGAGTTCCGAGACCTTGGCTCAGGCAGGCATGGCTTCATATCGTGGTTCTGCCATTTATTCTCTTGGGAAAGGCATTTATCTTTCTGAGGTTTAGTTTTCACATTTGTAAAATGAAGACACTAATACCTGAGAGGATTGTTGTGACAGGTAAATGAGATCTCTTTAGATTTTATTTATCTTTAGAGGGAGGGGAAAGGAGGGAGAAAGAGAGGGAGAGAAACATCAATGTGTGAGAGAAACATCGACCGGTGGCCTCTTTCATACACCTAACTGTGGACCTGGCCCGCAACCCAGGCATTTGCTCTGACTGGGAATCCAACTGGCCATCCTTTCAGTTTGTAGGCTGATGCTCAATTCACCAAGCCACACCAGCCAGGGCTAAATGAGTCTCTTTAAAGCATCATTGCTCAACCTTGCCAGACCCAACACTCCTTTTCATAACAAATATTTTGTAATATTCCTTTAGTATCCTGGAATAAACTTCAGAGATATTCTAACCTACCTACATATATAATAAAAAATTAATATAATGCCCTAACTATAATGTAAAAGGAAAGTCGTTTATAGTTAAGGAACATATAGTTCAGTATGTAATGCTCAGGTTGGGTTCCACCGGATGGTATGATAAAGTAGTCAGAAGCTAACTCATAGATGTAGAGTCCTGGTGAATGTAACGTTTTCAGAGGCAGACTGACAAGTGGTGGAATACTGGGACTCCAATACTAGAGGGATTTTTCATTGCTGCCATGATTCACAGAGTAGTACCCCTCTCTTGGTGAAGTTCTAAACAAGGCAAAGCATAATCTTTCTCTTGATTGTAGCTGCTTTCTTGTTAAATTCAGCATTACAGTAAAACCCTGCAAAATATTCTTTGTGCTTATATGTGAAACACATTAGGTTCTGGGATCAGATAGTTATAAATAGGGTTTTCACCTACATTAGTATCTGGTTGGACTTTGGAAATTCAGACCGGACATAGTAGAATTCTGTGTTCTCTGGGTCTGTCCTGTTCCGAGGGATGGCTAGAACCCAAGGCACCCACTCACAGATGTCAGGTGGGTCCCCCGGTATCTGTGAAAACGCTGCCAAGGTACCTAAAACAGCCCTGTTGAGAGTCATTGATGTGAAGTGATGAGCACGAGGCCTGATGGTGGTGACAGAATCTTTGTTTTTGACACTAAACCGTATTCAGACATCATCTACAGGGAAACGCTTGCCCTTTCCTTTCATTGGAAAGGCAGTGAGGTATGTAACAGACACAGCCCCAACAAGAACAAGAGCAATGAACATATACCAAGCACATGCCGATACTGTTCTCAGCCCTTCTCAGCACTTTACAAGTATCACTTAATCTTCAAGCAACCCGATGAGGTGGGTGCTGTTACTGTCACCTTCTCTTGCAGATGAGGCATGGACAGATAAAACTCCCCAGGTCGCACAGGTAGGATGGACATAGCCAGGCTATGACATTCGACAGTTTGGCTCTAGGACCCAGAGTCATAACCGTGTTTAGGAGGAGAGAATGTAGGCGTGGGAGACACATAGATCTGAGTTGGTGTTCCAGTTTCCCTTCTTGCTAGCAGTTACCTGTCACCGCCTCAGTTTCCTTCCCCTGGAAATGGCCACAAAAATTCCTGCCTTATGCAAGTGAAATAAACTATGTAAATAATAGTGTTTGAAAGTAGCTACCATTTGCTGAGGACATATTTTGTGTCAGGCTCTGTTGTAGATGCCTCATTCATTCATTCATTCATTCATATATTCAGTCAGCATCCACTTTTCCAAGCCCCATTAAGGATGTGCTTGGCGTTGGTATAAGTGTTATTGACTCATGATGAAGGAGACAGACTGGGTTTCTAGTCACAGGGAGTTCATGGTCCCAACCTCAAACATGTAACTACACAAAACTTGAGATACAGGGAGGTCATTATCCCATTGACTCCTTACAATGGAGATGATGTCATCACCATTTTACAGATAAGGAAACTAAAGCTTAGGTTGGTAACGTGTTCTGTGCAAAGTCATGTCCTTTTGAGGAAAGCTTTTGTGTATTCAAAAAGATGAATCAGTCATTTCTACCAAGATGAAGTAGCTCCATTCCTTCCTAGTCCTCCCTTTTACAACTAAAAAACATTGGACGTAACACCACAAACAGAAAGACTCTGAAAACTGGGAAGATGGTGGGCTGTTAGAATGGTGAACATATGCAGTCGTCTGGCCTAACAATGAGTATGTAGGAACCAAAGTTTAAAACAATGTATTTACAATCACTCCAAAGAAAATGATACTTAGGTATAATATTAACACAACATGTATAGGATCTGTATGCTGAAAATTACATAAAGCTGGTGAAAGAAATCAAAGAAGACCTAAATTAATAGACATACCACGTTCATGAGTTGAAAGGATCAACATAGTAAAGATGTCAGTTTTCCCCAAATTGTATATAATACAATTCGTATAAAATCCTAGCAATGTTTGGTAGATGTAGACAGGTTTATTTTAAAATTTATATAGAAAAGCAAGGCCCTAGAATAGGTAAGACAGTTTTGAAAAAGAAGAATAACATGGGAAGAGCCACTTTATGTGATATTAAGGCTAATATATAGCTATAATAATCAAGACAGCATATTATTGGTAGAGAGAGAGACATATAGGCCAATGTAACAGAATAGAGAAACCAGTAATAGAGCCACACAAATATGTCCAACTGATTTTTGACAAAAGTGCAAAAGCAATTCACTGGAGGAAAGACAGCCTTTTCCAGAAATGGTGCTGCAGCAACTGGACATTCACAGGTCAAAAACAAACCTCAATTTAAGTCTTGCAACTTAACTCAAAATGTGAATGTAAAATGAAATCAAAATTATTATTCTTATTACTGTTATTTTTTAAATTAACTTTTAATGTTCACCTCAGGATATGTTTATTGATCTTAGAAGGGAATATGAGGGAAGAGAAAGAGAGAGAGAGAAACGTCAATGTGAGAAGGAGACATCAATTCATTCCCTTCCATACACGGGATTGAACCCCTAACCTAGGTACGGGTCCTCACTGGGGATCAAACCTACAACCTTTTGCTGTATGGGATGATGCTCCAGCCAGCTGAGCCACCCAGCCAGGGTGAAATCAAAATTAAATGTAAAAGTGTAAAACTTTTAGAAAAAAACGTAGGGGAGAAAAAAATCTTTGGGCCAAGTAAAGAGTTCTTAAACTTTACAGACAGCTTAATCCATAAAAGAAAAATAAATGGGTAAGCTGAACTTTATAAAAAAATAAACAAACAAACCAAAGTTTTGTTCTGTGAAAGATTCTGTTAAGAGGATGAAAAGACAAGCTATAGACTTGGGGAAAATATTTGCACACCCACATACCTGACAAAGGACTGTTATGTAGAATATATCAAGAATTTTTAAAACTCAACAGAAAAACAATTCAGTTAGAAAATGGGTAAAAGACATGAGACATTTCACTGAAGAGGATATACAGATGGTAAATAAGCACATGAAAAGATGTTCAACATCATTATCCATTAAGGATATGCAAATTAAACTGCAGTGGGAAGTCATCACACACCTATCAGAATGGCTAAAAATGAAAAATAGTGATAACATCAAATGCTGACAAAGAGGAGAAACTGTATCATGCATTTGTTGCTAGCGGGAATATAAAATGTTAAAGCCATGCTGCAAAAGAATATGGCAGTTTTTAATGAAACTAAACATGCAATTCCTATAATGATCCAACAATTGCACTTTTATGCCTTTATTTTAGAGAAATGAAAACTTACTGTCACACAAAGACCAGTGCACGAATATTTCATAGCAGCCTTATTTATAATATCCGCAAACTAGAAACAATCCAGATATCTTTCCGTAGGTGAGTGGTTAAACAATCTGTAGTACATCCATACCATGGCAGCTTGATCCATGGTCAGTGATAAAAAGGAAAGAGCTACTGATATACTCAATGTCTTAGACGAATCTCCAGAGAATTTCGCTGAGTTAAAAAAAAAAAAATTCAATCCCAGAAGTTACATACGCACAATTCAATTTGTATGATATTCTGGGAATGACAAAATTATAGAAATGGAGAAGAGATTAATGATTTTTAGGGGTTAGAGACAGAGTCGGGGAGAGGATGGTAAGGGGAGGGAAGTGAGTGTGGTTATTAAAGGCAACATGAGTGATCTCATGGTTACTGTTTCGTATCTTGCTCATCTTAATGTCAGTATCCTGGTTGTGATACTGTAATTAGTTTTGCAAGATGCTGCTATCGGGAGAAACTGAGTTAAAGGTACATAAGATTTCTCTGTATTATTTCTTAAAACTGCATGTAACCTGAACTTATCTTAAAATAAAAAATTTAATTAAAAAAAGATACATCAGCCCCAGCTGGTATGGCTCAGTGGATTGAGTGCCGGCCTGTGAACCAGAGGGTTACTGGTTCAATTTCTGGTCAGGGCGCATGCCTGGGTTGCAGACCGGGTCCCCAGTGGGGGGCGCTCGAGGGGCAACCATACATTGATGTTCCTTTCTCTCTCTTCTCCTTCCCTACTCCTCTCTCTAAAAATGGATAAATAAAATCTAAAAAAAAAAAGATAAATCAGTACTACCACCATTAATGAAAAGAAATATGAAAGCTATATATTTTCTTAAGTACTTAAGTTCAAATTACAAATCTTAAGTACTTGTAAGGGTGATTTTGGAACTTCCCCTAAATCTTTTTAGATTCCCCTAAATCTTTTAAGGCCCATTAAAAATTAATATATTTATTTTCATTTCTGAATAATTCATTTATCTGATTAACAAAAACTATTGGATATTTAAATAATTCTTGTACATACAATAAACAAATTACTAAATACAGGTAGTCTTGTGTTTTTAAAAATGTTTTGGAATTCAGCCCTAGCTGGTGTGGCTCAGTGGATTGAACGCTGGCTTGAGACCAGAAGGTTGCTGGTTTGATTTCTAGTCAGGGCACAGGCCTGGGTTGCAGGCCAGGTCCCCAGTTGGGGGCACGTGAGAGGCAACCAACTGATGTTTCTTGCCCTCTCTTTCTCCCTCCCCTCTCTCTCTCCCTCCCCTCTCTCTCTAAAAATAAATAAGTAAAATATTTTTTAAAAGTGTTGGAATTTATACACATTTAATAAGAGTGTCTCACATCTTTCAACTTAAATCTAAATAATCTCATTTACACATTTTAAATTAGAAGCATAAAATTACTCTGTTAATCACTCCATTTCTCATTACAGTGAAATACCAGGTATGTGCCGTCGTCCCCCCTTATTCGCAGAGGCAGACCTCCAGTGGATGCCTGAAACTGAGGATAATAATGAGCCCCATTAACACTATGCTTTTTCCTATACATACATACGTGTGGTAAAGTTTAATTTATAAATTGAGTACACTAAGAGATTAACAATAATTACTACTGCCCTGGCTGGAATGGCTCTGTCCTGTGAACTGAAGGGTTGCCGGTTGGATTCCTGGTTGGGGCATGTGCAGGGCGTGTGCCTGGGTTGTGGGCCAGGTCCCCAGTTTGGGGGGTGGGTGTCTGTGCAAGAGGCAGCCGATTGATCTGTTGTTTCTCTCACACAATGATGTTTCTCTCCCTTCCTTCCACCCTCCCTCCCCTCTCTCTAAAAATAAATAAATAAATAAATGTCTTTAAAATATATAAAAAAACTATAATGACTACTAATGAAGTAGAATCATGATAGGCAGCTACTATGGTGAGAGGCAGCTCTCGCTGGGAGAGGCCACCAGTATTGTGACGAGCAGCCACCCTAGCGAGAGGCAGCCGTTGTTAGGACAGGCAACTGCTATTACGACAGACAGTTACCCAGCCATTTCTCTGATAGGTAATAACAATAAGGGGGAAACTATGGTCTCCTGACAGGTGGGCCCCGGGCAGTTGGGGAGCTGCTGCAGGGATGGGAGCCTGCGACCCGCCGGTGCCTGCCCTCCCTGGCGCAGCCCATTCTGGGGATAGACAACCCCGTTATTAGAAGGATCTTTATTTTATTGAGACCAAAACATCATTCCCTATAATTATGACCTTTGGTTCATGATTTGCCTTAACATCCATATATCTAATCCTAAATGTATATACTTAGCTAAAAATTAGCTCCTGAAGGATCTGAAAACTGGATTGGGTGATTTTCCTGATAAACGCATAGAATGACTATACTGTGAAAAAAGAAAAAAAAAGTAAAAGAATCAGCAATATACTATATTAAAAGTTATGTAAATGAGGTCTCTCTCAAAAAATCTCTCACCCTCCCTGTGATGATGTGAGATGACACAACACCTACAGGATGAGGTGCAGGGAGCTGAATGACGTAGGCCCTGTGATGGAGCAGAGGCTCCGACTGACCTGGTGATGGTGTGTCAGAGGAGGGTCAGTGAACCGTGACGATGTCATGTCCTCCACCCCCAATTTAATGCCTCTTCCATCCTGATTAAGCAATTACTATGCACTGTGGCTGTCACTCGTGTGGCTTGAAGTGTGACAGCAAAAGCAGCACAAGCTGATTTTTTTCTCCTTCACAATTTCACGGATAGAGGATCTGTTCTTATCGTAGACCTGAGCAACCTCAGCATCTGATTTTTTTTTCTTTCCTTGTTGAGAACTTTCACCTTTTCACTTAAAGGAAGCGCTTCATGGCTTCTCTGGCGTATCCGAATTGCCAGCAGCACTCTAGTGCTTTGAGACCACTGTTAAGGAAAGTAAGGATGCCTTGCACACAGGCACTGAGATACCTCAGCGGTGGCTCCGAGAACCCCGATGGCCACTAAGTGACTGACAGGCAGGGAGTGGACACAGTTGGAGAGGCTGTGCTGACATGCTGAGAGGAGGCAAGGATTCTAAGAATGTGCCCTTCCAATGCCTTATTCTGATCTGAATTATTTTCCTATATTCCTTTTCCGGCAGGACCACAGCTTTTAGAGGTATTTCATAGCCAGTTGGAGCTTTGCATCAGCCTTTGTCTGATGGTGTGGTCCTGATCCCAATCCTCAGGTCGTTAGCAATAACAATGACAACTAATTATGTGTATTCATCACTCAATAGGTGTTAGCTACTATTCTAAACACTTTAAAACATAGTAACTCCTTATTTAATTTTTCTGACAACCCTATCAGCTAAGCATGATGGTTATTTTTATTTCACTGATGGGGTGATTGAGGGACAGAGATCGTGAGACCTCCGAAAGGTCACACAGCTGAGAGAGGGCAGAGCCTAGATTCGAACCCAGGCTGCTTCATTAGTCCTTGCTCTCAATCCCTACCCTGTTTGAGCTTGCCCTGGCCAGGCTGGTGGGAGAGATCGGAGGCACCCGGCTCTTCCCTCTTCTTCTCCTCCCCCCGTCCATACCCAGTCACTGGGTATGTGGAGGTGCCCTGGGCTTCTCCATCCCGTATATCCAGGCCCAGAGTGGGGTCCAGGAGCGTACTGATGGATGCGCATTTCATCCTTGTCTCACTGTCACAAATCACAAAGTCGTGAGTGCGCGAGGCTGGAGCCTGGGCCATCTCTCATGGATGGTGCCTTCCTCGGGGCCTGAATCCCGCCTGCCTGTGCCCTCACTCTCTCAGCCCTGTCCCACGCCTCAGGATGTTCCAAGCCCTCTATGTTGATGACAGGCCAGCCGAGGAACGCACAGGAACCTCACAAAGGGAAGTTGGATTCTGGAAAGGCCATATCCCGGCTACTGAAGGTATTTGGAGCATCCTCCTCAGGCACGGGAGCCCAGGGCGGGGGGAGGGGGATGGGGGATGGTGGTAGCAAACATGCACAGAGCACTTCGTGAGTCTGACTCGATTCATTTCCTCCGCACAGCAACGCAGTGAACACACTTATTACCATCCCTATTTCATAGATGAGGAAACTGAGGTGCAGGGAGATAAACGACTTGCATGAGGTCAAATGGCTAGAAAATGGCAGTACCAGGGGTCAAAGCCAGTTAAGCAAAGTGCCATTGTGTTTTAAGACTCAGGAAAACAATCGGAATCCCTTTTCATTTCCCTACCTTAGGAATGCAATTTGTGTCTTGTTCATTTTCCTATCATGGAATATAGTGCATCTTGAAACAAGGCTTAGAAGCGTACTCTTAAATTTTTAACATAAGCTGACACAATTTTGGATAATTAATTTTCTCACCATTCATCGTTTTTTTATGGCTTCTGAACAATGTTTCAAAGTATTTGAAATAATGAAAAGAAAGAGGGGGCTTTCGTGTCTATAGCAAAAAGTAAAATAGTAAATACTGTAAGTGCTACAAAATACTGTAGGAGAATTCTTAACTTCTCCAAGAAAGTGTTTAATAGCTCAATGAGCAATGATTACTCTATAAAGAACTGGGAAAAATATTTGCTTTGAAACCTTTTTTCCCTTTAACCTTCAATGTTGCAAAATGATTTAGAGGGAGCCCAGCATTCTTAAAGGAGGAACTCATATTTCTAATGTTATTTTTATCCTGACTGTAGAAGGGTTCATGTGTTTTTGTTTGATAAAGAACATGAACTTGGACAATTTGGCTCTAAAACCTGTGCTCCTACCAGTTTCTAAAACTGTCCTTTGTAGTCATTTATTCATTTAGTCAGCAAATATTTATTGAACACTTACCGTATTTTGCCAGGTATAATGCGCCCCTGTGTATAATGCGCACCCATGTTTTCAGCCCAAACTTTCAGGACAAAAATCTTCAGTTTTAATTTTGTAATTCAATTTTTTATTTATTTACAGTTGGAAACAAAGCCAATTATCTTATTCCAGGGTATTATTTTGCATACTGATGTTGCTATTGCTTTCTAGAGTTACACTTTTAACTCGTAAGCATAAATAAAAGAATTTAAAACATTTATATAGACATGGAATTAGTACTACCCATCTATAAAGCACATCCTTGTTTTTCCCTCACAAATTTGAGCAAAAAACTGCGCATCATACACAGCACAATACGGCGCTATGTGCCAGGTCTCGTGCTCAGTGTGGGGTTCACAGTCCTGTGGCCTCTGACGGTTGGTAGCTCACCTTCTACTCAGGGAGAGAGACAGTAAACAAGACGAGTGTATAATATGTGTGGTGATGCTAACAGCTTATGAAGAGGCATAAAGATAAGGTTAGGGGGCTAAAGAGGCACAGAGGAGAGAGTGGCTGTGACTGTTTTAGACAGCGTGGTCAGAGAAGGCTGCTAAGGAGGTGACATCGGAGGGAGGAATGTGGCAGGTAGAGGAACCACAGTGCGGGGCCCTGAGGTTGGTGTGCCTGTAGCAGTTGCCGGGCAGGCGGGCGGGGGTTGGGGGGAGATGCTGGGAGGTGAGGATAGGCGGGATGGCTTGTGTACGGCCCTGTAGTCCATGTTGCACTCAGTGTTTTTATGCTGAGTAAGACGGGAAGAGCCTGCAGGATTCTGAGTAGAATAGGGATGTGGTCAACTTAGATTTTCACGGGAGTCCTTGGGGTGCTGCTGCTGCTGTGTGGCGAATGGACTTGTGGAGACGGGGTGGGGGGGAATGGAAACAGAGGAAGGGAGTGGAAATGACCCCGTTGGTTTGCGCTTGGAGATGGAGTAAGATCCTGACTGTGCCTTCCAGCCTCAGAACAATTATTTGTTCACTCTACAGCTCCTGAGAGTGCCTGCTGTGTGCTAGGCTCCATGCCGGGTGCTGGGGACAGAGCCACGAACAAGGCACTCAGAATTTGTGCTGTTATGGAGCTTCCGTGTTAGTGGGGAGAGACATAAATGAACGTAAAAAACCCAGAGAAGGGAAACTCATCAGCGTATTCAGCCCATACTCGTGGAGCTCCGGGCACTGTCCTGTGTGCTGGAGTTAGAGTTGTGACAAAACAACCAATGTCCCTGCCCTCTTGGCTGTGACATTCTTGTGGGGGACAGACAGGAAACAAGATAATAAGAAAAATGTCTGTTATGTTGGGTGGTGATAAGTCCTAGGAGAAAAATAAGTTGGGAAAGGGGAAGACATAATTACAAACTGTAATTGGCAGTTACAAATTGGGGTAAAGGTCAGGAAAGAAGCAAAGAAGGGATTCTACACTAGGTCGGGTGGTCAGAGAAGATCCATTTCTAGAGCAGAGGTCAGCAGTTCTCCAGTTTATCTGAATCACTGGGAGTGGAAGGAGTTAGAAGTACGGATTGCTGGAGCAGGCCCCAGCGATGCTGGCCCATTCACAAAATGCTTCTGGTTCCCGCGGGCCGTATTTGGAGATATTTTGGTGTGGAGATGTGGAGGCTGGATAGTGGAGTGACCACGGGTAACTTACGGAGTCCCTCGGACCGTCTGTTTCTGCTCCTAGAGGCAGGGCTAATCATAGTGCCGAGTGAGGTAGTGCGTGTAAGGCGCTTAGCACAGATGCGGGCCCATAATAAGCACTCCATAGGTTTGCCCTGTTGCTCTTGTTATGTGAGGGATATGGGAGTTGAGGGATAGCAAGGCAGGAGGGTTCTGGCAAAGGACAGAGAAATAAGGAAAAAGAGAAGGAATAAGGAAGAGAGCACATAGGTATGGCAGGGGCGGAGGGTTAGAGCCGGTGCCAGTGGTGTCAGCTCCTGTTCACTGAGTGCACACCGAGTGTGCGAGGCTTTGCCACTCAGTGGCTTGGTTGTGAATGTGATCTCCCTAATTTTTTTTTTTTTTTTACAGCAGCTCTCTGAAATGAATGTTAGTTATCCACGTTCGATATGAGTCTAGTGGGGCTCTGGGAGCTTAACGTGCCCAGTTTCCTTTGGGTGGTGATAGAGCTGAGATGTGAAGCACAGTGTGTCTTTTTGCCTAACATCCAATTCTGAATCATTTTGAGGTTCAGCCACACCTTGCAGCTTTAAGCCCACTCAGCTCCTTGTCTTAGTGTAGTGGAAAGACAGACCCACTGGAGTCAGAAATCTGCCTTTCCAGGTCCCGTGTCCCCGCTTCTTGGCTGTGTGACTTCGTGCAAGTCACTTAAACCTGTCTGAGCTTACCCCTTATCAGTAAAATAGTTAGTAAACAGGGTTGTTAGAGGATGAACTGATACCATGTGCCATGTGCCACATGAGGACAGTGCTCAAACATACAGTAGATCCTCAACAGTTGTTGGCGGTGTTATTGTAGATTTTGTGTACCTGCTGGGCGTGGCTCAAACCCTTAGACCCTCATTGTTTCCACAGGGGTGTTGTATGCAATGAGAGCACTCAGCTCAGCTGCCTGATGAGAAATGTTAGCAATTACCCTGTTAGCTTCAGCCTGCCTCCCTGCTTCTCCTCCAGATGTGGCCCATCGCCTCTGGCACCTTTTTTACCTACCTGGGGCATTTTCTATTACAATGATTATTACACTACTATATTTCATTGATTCTAGAGAGCCATTGATAATAAGGCGCACCTTTATTTACCCACTAGTAAAATATATGTCAGTTCGATTGCAACATGCACTAACTGTAAAGTGCATCCCCACATCAGAAATGTAAAATTATGGGAAAACGGGCATTTCAAATGGATGAAATAGCGGGGAGGTGCTGTGACCCGTAGACAATGGGGAGCCGCCTCGCAGCCCAGGTCGCAGTTACCGGTCGAGGCCACTAGGAGGCGAGTGTACGATGGGAGGGAAGTGGTCCCCAGATTCCGGGAAGCTCCGGCCGCCTGGCGCGGCACCGCCTCCCGTACCCTTCCCTTCGCCCACAGATGATGCTCAGGAACTGGCAGACCTCACTCCAGGAGCTCCAAAACCAGGGGGACTTCCTCACCAAGCTCAATCAGGAACTGATCAAGACCGTCCAGGACACGGAGGAGAGCTCAGCCCTGGAAATGCGCGAGATGCTGCAGCAGCAGAACGTCTTCAGGGTGAGGCCTCACCGGTGGCCCTGCGGCCCCGCCTCTGCCTCTGCGCCTCCGACCTGCCGCGGCGCCCTCTAGAGCGCTCCGGCGCCCTCTCCTGGCCTCTCCCGGCCGGTTGCACAGCTACCAGGGCTTTGGGATCAGATCGGGATTGGCGAGGCTCAGCCTAACGTCAGTACCTATTAGCTGAGAGACTTCAAGTTAACCTCTGAGCTCTGTAAAATAGACTCAATAGCACCCGTTCCAAAGGGGGAAGGGTCTGTACTTGATACACAGTAGATGTACAGGAGAAAGTAGCTGCCATCAGCACTACCAGCAGCAAGTACTTTCACAGTGTAATACTAAGTGTTTTATATGTACTCAAGTATCCTTACAACAACCCTGTGGGGTGGGCATTATTATTATCTTTATTTTACGTATGAAGAAATAGAAACACAAGCTAGGTGACTTGCTCAAGGTCACCCAGCTAGCAAGGGTCAGAGTTGGGATTTGAGCCCAGGCAGCCTGGTGCCAGGATCTGTGTTCCTTCGGCCAGCTGTGATTACCACCCTCATCCAGTGGTGGCACTTCTAATCAGTGGGTGAAGAGTGACTATGCAGAGAGCCCAGGGGATGTCGTGGCCTCCTCGAGGAGAGGCTAGGTGAGAGGCTGAAGGGTCACCGGGGACCCAGGAGTTTGGCTGAAGAAGAGTCAGACAGTGCTTAATGGAGAAGTGAATCCACTCTCTGACTGCAGCTTGCCCAGGAAAAAGAGGGACTGAGCTCACCGGAGCCTGTGAGATGAAGAGAAAATTAAGTTTGGGGACCTCAGTGGGTCAGCTTGGGCTGCCGTGACAAAATACCACAGAAATTTTGGCTTAAACAACCAAAATTTACTTCTCATGGTTGTAGAGGCCAGAAGTCTATACGATCAAGACGCCAGCAGGATTGGTGTCTGGCGAGGTCTCCCTGCTCGGGGAGGGCGGCTGTTCCTTGCTGGGCTCTCACACGGCCTTTTCCCTGTGCTCACGCCGAGTGAGAGATCTCTGGCATCTCTTCCTCTTCCTGCAACCCCAGTCCCATTAGATTAGGGCCCTGCCCTTTGGACCCCATTTGTCCTTAGTTACCTTCCTAAAGTCCTTACCTCCAAAAACAGTCATGTTAGGGCTTAGGGCTTCAGTATATGAATTTGGGGTGGGGTTGGGGGTGGACACAATTCAGTGCATAACAGAGACCAAGGACAATGCAGAGTTATTCAGTCCAAGGAAACCTAGTAGAATATTCTCCATACCTAGTCAAAGTCATTGTCTGATTTTCTGTTACTGATCCATTAATTTTTTTCCTCCTGAGTACTTCTTGTAGGCCCTTGGGAAACAGTGACCAGTGGGGCACCTTGTCTACATCAAGCTCTCATTCTGCTGGGGTCACAGGCAGTTAGAAAGACATTCGTGTGTACTGCGATGGGGATGAGGGCCTCAGAGCCTAGGGGGGCTCTCTAACCCAGGCATTGGGGGATCGGGAAGGCTTCCTGGAGAAACTGATGCTTGGATTGAAACATGCAGTCGTAGGTATTAACTGGGAGAGAGCAGGCAAGTGTTCCAGGCAGAGGAAATGGGTACAAAGGGCCTGGGGTAAGAAGGGGCACAGCCAGCTCCAGGAGCCACATGTTGCGTAGCGTGGCAAGACAATAGGCGTGAGGAAAGCATCAGAGGGAGAGAAGATTGGCCCAGGCCAGATGGAGGAGGGCCTTGTTTACAGGGCAGAGGGGAGCCATTGGAAGGTTTCAAATGGGAGAGGGACAAGGTTGCTGCTTTTTAAAGAAACATCAGTCTGACTGCCGTGTGGAGAATCAGTCAAAGGAGAGGACCACTCAGGGGTAACTGTTGTTATATTTCAGACAGGAGGTGAAGAAAACTTGAGTAAGATAGTGGCAGTGGGTATAGAGAAAAAGGCGTGGCTCTGCATGCAGTTTGGGGAATAAAATCCGAACTGCTTGGTGACATTCTGGGTGAGAGAGAGGATGGAGACTGTGTGCCCGGGTGTGTGGGGAGGCCATTGGCAGAAGTGGGCGGTAGTAAAGGGGAACTTTGGAATGGGTAGGGGAGTAGGTGGCTGCTTTGTGGCCTCTGGAGATGTTCCTGGGCCTGGGAGTGGGGTTGGGTTTGGGGACCTCTTGAGGGCAGCCCTTGAGTCTCCCAAGCAGCCATGCTCTCGGTGGGCGAGCTGACCCTTCCACTCCCACAGACCATCGTCCATATCTTGGGGTCCTCAAACAAGAAGAAGCTGCAGCAGATGAAGTGTGAGCTGCAGGAGTGGAAGGAGAAGGAGGAATCCAAGATGAGCGGTAAGAATCCATGCAAAAAGCTTCCTGACCTTCACCTGGCCCCCTGGGGAGGTCACCTGCAGGGCACTCGCCTTGTACCTGCTGTCCCGGTGCCATCAGGCCCATCACTGCCCTTCTTGGGCAGATGGAGTTGCAAATAGCTTGCCTTGGAGCATTCAGCACTCTCGGGTCCCATGTGTCTTCATATTTATGGACACACTCTGTCATTACAGCTACCCGTGAAGCAGGGAATATTCTCCCATTTTACAGATGAGGAGACTGAGGCTAAGAGAAGTGAAGTAGCCTGCTGAAGGTTGCACAGCGGGGAGCCAGAGTCCAATTGAAGCCCGCCTCTCTTTCCTGCCAGGGTCGCTCTGGGGGCCAGTGCCTGGGCCAGGCCCCAGGCCTCCCAGCGGTTATCCTGCTGAGCCCGTGGCTTCTTGTCCCTGAGCAGAGGGACGGTGTGTCAGTCAGCCTTGGAGACTGGGGACGCCCTCCAAGGAGAACGGCAGGAGAGACTTTGTTTTAATCCTGCTGTGGCTGTGTGGTGGGTGCCGGTGTCAGCCCATCTCCCTGGGCTTGCTGTGTTGGAGGTGTGCGTATGAGGAGACTGAAGGCCAGAGAGGGGTAGACTTGGTGAGGGTCACGGAGCAGGTCCCAAGCAAGCTGGGATGAGTCTCGGAATCTGGCACCACCTTAGTTTCTTTCCTGCCCTGTTTTGCCTCTTCTGTGGGGGTAAAAGACTCTCCAGGGCTTTGACTTTTCACCACCTCGCAGCCTGGTGTGAGCTCGCTGCAGCCCAGAACCCAATCCACTGGCCAAGGAGAGCTTTGCCTCCTTGGGAGGGGGTCTTTGAGGGAGGATCCTGCCTCCTGTTCCTCCTGACCTCGGCAGGCCTGAAGCAGCAGGTGGAGCAGCTGAACACCAGGATCAAGAAGACACAGGAGGAAGTGAACTTCCTGAGCACTTACATGGACCACGAGTATCCTGTCAAGTCGGTCCATATTGACAACCTTGTGCGTCAGCTGCAGCAGGTGAAGGACAATCAGCAGGTAGGTGAGCCCCTGGCTTTGTCCTGTTGGACCAGGGGGGAGGCAGGGCTGGTGGCCAACATGCTCCTGGTGGCCCCCAGGATGAGTTGGATGACTTTAATGAGATGCGCCAAATGGTCCTGGAGTCTTTGTCTAATGAGATTCAGATGAAGAGGAAAAAGCTTCTGAGCTCTCTGGTGGTGGTGAGTAGCCAGCGGCTGCTGTGAGCGCCCAGGCCCTCCGTCCAGTCCGGCTTTCTTCCCCATCCGCTGCCTCCAGACCGCTCTGCCCCCGCCAGCCTTTGTCGCACATTGCTGCCCAGGGAGGGGCCTGTGGGGGCCAGATGCTCCTTCATTCACAGAAAACCCAGCAACCGCATGAGGAGGTTCTTCTGCAGAAGACGTGTGAGAACCATAACATGGCGAAATATGTGGACAAGTTCCGAGAAGTGAGTGGACAAGGACGGTGATGGTCCCTCTGCGTGGGAGCAGAGGGTGGGCAGCCCCCAGGACCCGTGGGTGTTAAGCTTGTCCTGATCTGCTGCTCAGGAGGTCTTGGGAGTCTGGTGTTGGCCTTTCTCCTTGCTGGTGCCATTGCCGTCACTTGTCATTCATCAGAGAAGGGGGTTTGTGGTGGCCTAGGCCTTGCCTTGTAAACTGTCATCAGTGGGCATGACCCTTTAGTGACATCACCAAGCATCGCCTACTCAACCGTCATTTTCCTGTCCCTAGTCACCCCCTATCTTCACCCCTTAATTCTTGTCTTGACCATCACCCATTGCCTGGTTAGTGACCGCCATCACCACCCTCTTCGTCTTCATCACCTTGCACCTGTGTCAGTCATGTCTGTGAGCGGCCTCCACCATCCCCCCGGCCCTCATTCACCTTCATTATCAAGCACTGCCCCCCGCTCGGCAGTGTCTCCATTCCCTGCGATGCCCTCGCCTTTCTTAGGACCATCCAACATGGTCACTAACTCGTGAGCCAGCCCCGTCCTGCCAGAGCGGCCCCTCTCTGGAGTCCCGGGGACAAAGCCCAGGCCATTTCTCTAAGTGTCTTTAGATTTTGTCCATTTTGCCCTTTTCTCCCTTTGATTGAGGGGTACCTGGCTTCTCAGTTCCCCCTGCTGTTCCTCTCTCAGTTTGTCAACCAGTTCGAGCAGGAAATACACAAATTAAGGGCTGAGGTGAAGCAGCTCCAAGTCCAGATCCGGGAGCCCCGAGAGATCGTGTTTGCGGACGTTCTGCTTCGGAGACCCAAGTACGTGGTCATTTTGCAGCTGCCTCAGCCTAGCCGGGAACACGTTCCTTTTGCTACCTGTGTGGAAGGAGTAATGCCTGTCACTTCCCAAGCACAAGCATGTGCCTGCATGATCTCCTTTAATCCTCCCACAGTGACTGAGGTTGGATTCTTACCCCGCTTTGGCCAGTGGGGGAACTGAGGCCCACCTGGGATGTGTCACATAGCGAGCTGCACAGGTACCAACTGGAGGAGTGAGGCTCTGAGAGGAGAAATAGGATGCTCAGGGTGACACGGAGCCAGGTTTCCAAACGAGTCATCCGACTCCAAAAAGAGTGTTCGACCTGAGGGCGCCCAGCATGGTAGAACTGAGTTCCTGCTTCCTCTTGACCTTAGATCTCTGTAGGGGAACGTCAGTCCTGCCTAACCCATTCCTTTTTCATTTTGCAGTGTGTGTGTGTGTGTGTGTGTGTGTGTGTGTGTGTGTGTGTGTGTGTGTGTGCACAGGCGCATCCTTACACAGCTGCGCTGTGAGCTGGCAGATGTGTTTTGGGATGGGGCTCCCCCAATAAGTACCCGTGTTCTAAGGAGCAGGGCTCCCCTGAGGACATGCCCTTGCTACTCTAACTCTGGTGCGCCTATTGGCCTCTCACACTCCGTCTTTGCTCTTTCCTGCCAGGTGCACCCCGGACATGGATGTTACCCTCAACATCCCTGTGGAAGAGCTGCTACCCTTCTAGATGGCAGGGCCATGGCCGCCTTTCCTTCCCTGCTGTCTTTCCTACCCCTGGAGCCTTGGATCATCTCCTTCCAAGACCACATGCCCATTTAGAACCTCCTCGTCTGTCTCCTTCCCTCCCTCCTTCCCTCCTTGTTTCGGTTTGGTGCTGCTACTTGGGCTGGGTGGGAATTTCCAGTCAAGTCTACAATTTCTTTTTACCAATAAATCTGGAGTTGCATTTGCTCTTTGCCAGTGCCTGGGAATTCCCAGGCAGGCCTTGTAAGAAGATGTGGTAGGAATGGACTTTGTCTTAACGTAAGAGCAGCTGTGCCGTCTGCACCTAGAACTCAAAACTTCTCAAGAAGTGCCACACTGACCCCCTGCCTGAATCTCCATGACTCTGTGGCTCCGACTGCCCCCTACCTGGTGCAATGGAAGCTCAGGTTCCCCCCCAGTTTGTGGCCAGACCTGTTAAGACCAGTGCCAGGTAGAGGGGAGACTTCTTGAATTTGATGCTCTTGGGAGCTTGCTGGGCCTTCATTGCGGGTGACCATCTCTCTTCTAGTCCAACTGCCTGCCCACTGCCTCACCCCAGCTGTGTGTGGACGTGAACGCAAACTGATGCTCAGGTGCACAGTGAGGCACAGTTCCCCACCCCATACCCTTCTGTGGTGGACTTGGAACCCAGACCCCGTTTCGAGCAAGGACTTGTTGCCCCAGTTACTGGGAGCGCTGTGGTCGCAGCTGTCAGGCCCCTCAGGGTTTGCCTGGGCTGCAGAAAGCAACCTTTTTACTTTCCCACAAGGGTTCCAATTTCCCCATATCCTCATTTATACTGTCACTCCTTTAAAAAAAAAAAAAAACCCAACACAACAATCCTAATAAGTATGAAGCAGTATCTCATTGTGGTTTTGATTTGCATTTCCCTAATGACTAATGATGCTGAACATCTTTTCATGGGCTTATTTCAAAGAATCTTGTGTGTGACTAAGTACTTAGAACTTTTCATATTTCTGAGATACTTATTTGGGAAAGTTTGTGCAGCCAATTTCTTAGCATTTTCTCCAGAGCATTTTTAAAAAAAAGATATTATTTATTTTTAGACAGAGGGGAATGGAGGGAGGGGAAGAAACATCAGTGTGTGGTTTGCCTCTCACATACCTGCTACGGGTGACCTGGCCTGCAGCCCAGGCATGTGCTCTGGCTGGAAATCGAACCAGCAACCCTTTGGTTTGCAGGTCAGTGCTCAATCCACTGAGCCACGTCAGCCAGGGCCAGAGCATGTTTTCCTAACAGCAAATCTCTTAATGTTAGCATCCTTTGCCATTTGGATAGCTCGAGTATTTCCAGAACCATCAAGTTCTGCTTGCTTTGGGTTAACAGTTCTTTCATCAATTTCTCTCTCCTTGCATTTTTACTATAAGCGGCAAGAAACCAGGCTTCACCTGCAGCACTTTTCTTAGAAATCTGCTCAGCTGGATATTCAGGTTCATGGCTTGTAAGTTCGCCTTTCCACATAGCAGGACACATTCCCCTAAGCCACTAGATGGCAAGATCCCCTTGCCTCCAGTTTCCAGTAGCATGTTGCTCACTGTCTTCTGACTTCCCACCAGGATCACCTTTAACATCCACATTTCTACTAATAGTCTATAAACGAACATTTCATTGGCAGCTTCAGTTCCCCTTTGCCACGTATTGTGTGGTATTGACAGGTTCCAGCAGTCAGGATGCGGACTTCGAGGGGCGTTATTCTGCCTCCTGCACTTCTCTAGCCGCATCACACTTTCTTCTGCAGAGAAGCCCCCTTTTCTCCATACTAGGGGACTCTCGTCCCCAAGGGCCACCCAGCACTCAGGCAACCTTTGGGGGCCTTGGAACCTTGGGTCACATCTGGGGTACCGTTTCTTCCCTTTTTGTTCTGCAGCAACCTAAGTTCCCAATAGAGACAGGAATTCGGCCCAGATGAACCCTGTTCAGACAGGCTCGACAAATAGAGCTTGTTTTCCAGAAGCGTCACCCTTGCCTGTCCTCTCATGAACAGACAGAACCACCCTGGTGTGGGGGGGAGGAGCCCATCTCCCTGGTAGATGTGGCTCCAGAGGGTGGCTGGCCAATAAAACCTGATGGCAATGAGGATGAAAGATGGCCCGGTGGCCTCGTCCGTTTGGGTTGGGAATGCCCCATACCCATCCCAGGGGACACGGGAGCCCTGATAAATTTCAGCATAGCAAAAAGGCCATGCAATGGCAGCTCGGGGTCATGATCACTATGGCTGAATCCCAGCATTGTGGGTGCATGGGAAGGGGGCGGGGAGCGAGGGGAGTTACCCGTGGGTCAGCAGGAGTGTAGATCTGGGGTAACAGCACTTGCAGGGAGGGCCCAGGCCATACATTTGAAGATACTCAGTTTTAAGTTATTCTATCCACGACTCACTATCCACACCATAGTGTCTGGTAAGCTGGGTGCATTGCCTGCACCTCATGTGAAAGTTCAAAGTCATTATTAGCTATGAGTTGGCTCTTGTATCCTTGGAATTTTGGCAAAGCTTTTGTGCTTTAGGCAAATTAGGATCATCAGGATTCCAAATCAGCATATTTGGGGTCATGGTTGGGGGGGGCACTAGATTTCGAAAGTATCCCACGCTGTTACCTGTCCTTCGTCTGTCCACCCCCGCCCCCTTTACTGGAGCATTAGGGGACAGCAGGAGTGAGAACAAGCGGATGGGGATGTGGAGGAGGAGGGGAAAATCAGCTTGGTATTGCCTTTAATGGCAAGAACAGGTGTCTACAGAGCATTTTTGCTAAGGTGTAGAGTGCCCTAAAGGTGGGGAATTTAGCATAATAAGGGTTGTGAGCGGGCATAACCCAGGTACTGTTAGATAACCAGGCATTATTTTTAAATTTTGGTAGGGGATGTTGGAAAGTCCTATTCCGGTGCTCAGTCCAGCTAATCGAGTAAATGTAAGTTTCTTGTTCTAAGTCCCATCTCTGTGTATTTTGTGAAGCTCCCTGTTACTAATCTAGTTTAGCACACTAGTAGGAATTAGGAGGGTTTTGGTAACGTTCTGGGCACGGACGGAGTCACACAGGGTCCCGTAGGTGCCTTGCATTAAGCCACTGTGTCGACTTTGGCGTGGGCATACCGAGTATAACCAGGAGATGGCGGTAAAGGGCAAATAAAAGGAACCTGTCAAGGACTTCAAGGTCCGTCTCCTCGGGAATGGAATGGATCGTCAGCTTGTAAAATTCACAATTGGAGACCATCATTTTGGCTATTAGTGTGCAAGTGGGAGGTCTCTGTTTTGCTTCCATTGCTATTCCTTGCTCCCTGTCCGCCTGAGCTGGCTTCCAGCCTCATCTCACCATTCTCCTGCATTAGTCCCATGGGCCTTACTCCCGCCGAACAAGCCCCTTTCCTGCTCGGCCTTTGCAGTGGCCAGTCCACTGATCTGAATACTATTCCCCAGGTCTTCGTGCAGCTGAGTCGCCATGCCCTCTTAGTTCAAGTTTCTGTTCTCAGGGAGGTCTTGCCTGACCACCGTTTCTAAAGTAGTTCTTGCCCATGCCTCTCCATCACATCACTGTTGTATTTTCTTTAGAGCAGTGGTGACCATCTGATTGCACATTCGTTTTGGCCAGGTGTGTTTGTCATCGGAGTCCCCCGACCATAATGTAAATTGCATGAGTGTAAGCCATTTGTTATACTTGTTCATTGCTACTATAGTGTAGAGAGCAGGATCTGGCACACAGGCGGTGCTCAGTAATTATTTATTAAATCATTGAATGGGTGAACTGGTTCTGTCTATTGGAAAGCTAGGTTTCAGCAGTGACACTTGCATTGCCATGGAAACAAAGCCCCCACTTTAGGAAATGATCCGATGATGGGCCAAAAAAAAAAAAAATGCATGGCTACTGTCCTGCATTATGGGACTCTCGCCAGTCTGGGAGCCTGTGATGACAGGTCATGGGTGCCTGGCCAGCCCTCCCATCCTTTTCTTTGAGTATCTATATTTTAAATTTTTATTGAATTAATTGGGGTGACATGGGTTGATAAAATTATATAGGTTTCAAGTGCACAATTCTGTAATATATCTTCTGTATGTTGTGTGTCCACCACCCAAAGTCAGATCTCCTCCTGTCACCGTTTATCCCCTTCACCTTCTACCTCCCCGCACCTCCTTTCCCTCTGGTAGTCACTGCACTGTTCTCTGTGTCAATGAGCTGTTTTTTTTTTCTTTTTTGCTTAATCCCTTTATCTTTTTCACCTAGCCCCTCCCATCCCCTTCTTCTCTGACAGTTGTCAATCTGTTCTCTGTATTTATGAGCCTTTATTTTATTGGTTAGTTTACTTTATTGGTTAGTTTAGTTTATTGGTTAGTTATTGTAAATTGAATTCCACATATGTGTGAAATCCTATGGCATTTGTCCTGCTTTGACTGGCTTATTTCATTTAGCATAATACTCTCCAGGTCCATCCATGCTGTTGCAAAACATAAAATTTCTTTCTTTTTTATGGCTGTGTAGTATTCCATTGTGTAAATGTACAACAGCTTTTTTATCCACTCATCTGTTGATGGGCACTTGGGCTGCTTCCAAATCTTGGCGATTGTAATTAACATTGCGATGAACATAGACGTACACATGTTCTTTCAAGTTAGCGTTTTTGGTGCCTTTGGATATATTCCCAGAAGTGGGATCACTAGGTCACAAGGCAGTTCCATTTTTTAAAATTAATTAATTAATTTAGTACTTTATTTTTATTGTTTACACCATTACAGATGTCCCCGTTTTCCCTCCCTTTGCCCACCTCTACCCAGCCCTCGTTCCCACTTTCCTCTGGCCATCGCCACACTGTTGTCTTTGTCTGTGAGTTATGCATGTATGTTCTTTGGCCAGTTCCTTCACCTTCTTTTATCTACTCCCCTCTCCCCATCCCCTCTGACAGTTGTCAGTCTAGTCCATGTATCCATGCCTCTGTTTCTCTTTTGTTTGTTGGTTTATTTTGTTCATTAGATTCCACATATAAGTGAGATCATTTCTGCCTTATTTCATTTAGCATACTACTCTCCAGTTCTGTCTGTGCTGGTGCAAAAGGTAAGA